TATTACCCTTCCCTTTATAGTTATGACACCTTGTTATAGTCCTAGCCTTCACAACCTCCCCAGGCAAGGAGTTCCACAAGTTGACTGTGCGCTGTGTGAAGAACTTCCTTTTGTTTTAAACCTGCTGCCCATTAATTTCATTTGGTGTCCCCTAGTTCTTATATTATGGGAACAAGTAAATAACTTTTCCTTATTCACTTTCTCCACATCACTCATGATTTTATATATCTCTATCATATCCCCCCTTAGTCTCCTCTTTTCCAAGCTCCAGTCCAATGGCTTTCTAGGGATGCACATTAAAATGCATTTTTATACTTTGTGAAGAGATAGCGGAGTTTTTTCTGCAAAAAGAGAATTGAGCTGAACAAAGAGTTCAGTGACAAGAAATGGCTTCTCTGTTGGGCATACCTAGTTGATATCTTTGGTAGCCTTAATGACCTCAATCTGTCCCTTCATGGAAAATGTTCAACATTAATAGACTTGACTAATAAAATCAGAGCCTTCCAGATGAAATTTGATCTGTGGTGCAAGAAGTTGGACGCAGACAGATAAGGCACGTTTCCTACACTTTCCTCATTCAGCGAGGAGGAGGAAATCAACAATAGTGCTCTCAAGTTAGCTATTAGTGAACATCTGAAAGCACTTCATGAAGAGTTCTTGTGCTACTTTCCAGTGCTACCAAAAGCACTTCATTCCCTGGTGAAGAACTCTTTCAGTGTGATGGCTGAGCAGTTACCTACTGAAGATATTCACGCACAGGAACAGTTTATAGACGTGATCAATGATGAAGTGAAAGCAAAATTCACACAGCTGCCTCCAAACCAATTCTGGTGCTCAATTGCAAGTGAATACCTACTGGTGAGCGAAATGGCCTTGAGAGACCTCCTGCAGTTTCCTGCTACCTACAAATGTGAGAGTGGATTCTCCAGCCTTCTCGCAACAAAGACCAAATCGCAAAACCAGAAAGGGCGCATCATCCATCTCACTGATTTTTGGCTGATTCTGTTGATTAATTGCTGTCAAGTATTAAAAAAAATCTACATGAAAATTATTTCTCTGCTTATAACAATTTGATAAAATGTGTTTTAGTCTTAATTTAAAAGCAGTGAGAAAAGAAATTCATTTTAAGCAATAGGGCTTAAATTTAGCATTTAATATAGTTATAAAAATGTATTTTTAATTTCTAAGGGGGGGTGTCAAACTCAGAGGCTTGCTGTGTGAAAGGGATCACCAATGCAAAAAGTTTGAGACCCACTGCTCTAGCAGAAAGCGACAGTCCTATGGCAACTTATAGACTAACAGACATTGGACCATAAGCTTTCGTGGGTGAATACCCACATCAGGTTGTGCGATATGTGGTATCTTTGACCCACCATGGCTTGTCTCCCTCCATTATCTCTCTCCAGCTAGCATGCCTGTCTTATGGAATAGGTTGGTGGGTTTCCCAGACCCATGTGGGCATTTTTATAGTGGAAACTCTTTGAATGGTAGGCCGGGAGAGAGGGGTACCAGAGGAACAACAGGTTACCCATAACACTGGAAGCCCTGACAGGATTATTACAGCTCTGACCTGGGTCTGCAACTGTGGGAAAGAGGCCATTTTATTTAAGGCAGTATTTGTTGTTGCCTTCTTTGGCACTTTTAGAGTGAGTAAGCTGATGCCTATGCCAGCTGCGGACAGGTCCCACCGTGTGTTAAATGTAAAAGATGTGCAACTATCTGCAGGAGCAGTGGCCCTGCATTTAAGGCACTCGAAAACAGACCAGAGGGGAAAGGGGGCTTATGCGGTGTTGAAGGAATGTGCAGATGGGGCAATGTAAAGGCAATAAGTCTTGCTAAAAATCTGGAGCCTGCAGCTGGGACTGCTCTTCAGACAGTGTGGTGGCAGCTGCCTGACAAAGTACCAGTGTAGCACAGAATTGGGAAAAACCTTGAGCTACTGCTGTCTTGACACTAAAAAAATTTGGTATTCATTCTTTCAGGATTGGGGGCAGCCACATCAGTGGCTGCAGGTGGTTTTGCACCATGGCAGGTGCAGGAAATTGAGGACTTATTACAGGACTTCTGTCCACTACAGGATGTGAGGGAATGGATTGGACAAGAACTGTGATATAGGCAGTGTGGTTGGGTGTTGGGGCAATGACCAAGCTAGTCACTGGTGCCCCCTGTGGCCGATTTCCAGAGTAGTTAAGAAAATAAAATGAATAGTTCCCAGAAAAAAGACCTGTGATTTTGGTGATGGGCAGGGTGGGGACCCCAACCAACAAGGGCCACAAGGTCAGACCTTGGCGCACAAAAGCCACAAGGTATCACCCTATCACATGAGCCTAAGGCCCTTCACCAAAATCCCAGGTCTTTTATCTCTAGCAGCAGCAGCGCAGAGGTAAGGATGGCATGGTATGTTATTGCCACCCTTACTTCTGTTCTGCTGCCTTCAGAGCTGGACCCTCGGTCAGCAGCCGCCACTCTCCGGCCACCCAGCTCTGAAAGCAGCAGCACAGAAGTAAGG